ACAAGAGGAATAGCAGCACTGCAGCAGGGGAGAGAGAGCTGGTGGGAAATGGTGATAACCTCTGAATTGCCATTCAGTAAATCTCCACTTGGCTGCGAGTAGGAGCATTTCGTTTCAAACTAAAGATACTGACAGCTGCTTTTATATAGGAGAGCATCTTTTTTTGCAAAGAACACCTTTTCAAGTAATACTCACTTTGCTTTTGAGTACAGAGCACCAAGGCAGGAGAATGAGATGGTATTTAAACAAGAGTAATCAGAAGCACGGTACAAAATACTTTTGGAATTGGACATGGTATGTCTCCTGTCATTGCTGCAAAACCCTGTCTGAACACACGCTGGTATCTAATTTGCATTAGAAGAAGCTGAAGGAATATTCAAAGAATTTCTAATACTGTTTTTCTGTTTGCAAGGGTGCTCACATGGCCCATGCTTAGTAAAACAGCCTGAACAACAATGGCTGTTAAGATAGGAATGTGAGTTCAAGCATTCAAAACTGTCTGAGAGTGCATATGCCACAGCTGATCATATTAAAGGGGTTGATAACCATTGGCCAGATTAAACAGTAACCAGGGAGTTACAGAGTGAGTTTTGAAACAAGGCTGGTGCCAATTTAGAAAGAAGTATAAGGGACAAATGAAACTTTGTAACAGTAGGGAGAACAGTGAGAACAGAGCAAGCAGTCAAAACCAGAGGAGTTTGGTTTAACGCTGTTGTATGTTCACCCACTGGAATCAAAACCTCTGTCTGGGCCAGGCAGAGTATCTTCCCTGTCTGACTCTGCCAGCAGCCTGCATTCAGCTCGGGCAGTGACAGTGCAGGGTGCAACATGCAGGGACTCACAACTGGTTGTGTGCATGTGACCTTGTGTGGTGCTTTCTCCCTGATGTTTGCGTTAGCAGGTTGTAAGGTGCAGCACAGGTACACATTAAGCACCCGCATCTCCTACAGAAGGTATGTGTGAGAGGGGGACTGTGTGTATAACCATGGGTTATACATGTGGGTTGTGGGTGCACAACTTTGTGTGCACGGTTAGAACTTTGGGGGATTAGCGAAGAAAGGTTGTTTAGAAATTTTTTAGGTGTTTATTAGCATTTTGTCTATTAACAGTGTCTTATCTGTTGTATTGCTGATACTGAACGTGAATATATAGTTCACCAATTGCCAGTTAATTATGTGCTATTAATAAATCAATAAACCAGTTCAATTGTCATTTGGTTTAAACTAAGTGAACTGTGCAGTTTTTCCCTGTCACACCATCAGGTTGTAATTGTAGATATTATGTGATGTGTAATGTCATTGTGAGTTAGAGAAGTTGTCTGCCAGCAGGAGGAGAGACAACTGTTGACAATGAAAAGATAATCTCACTATTAATATAGTGGGATAGGACCCTTTCATGAAGATTTTTGGGCAAAACAGTGACTGGTTCTAGAATTCTGTGGGCTCTAATGGCATCATTAAACTCAAGTGTGACAGCAAGCATGCTGTTAGAACATGCTGAAATTATACTGGTCAGAGATGCTGTTCCAGCAGTGACTGGCTAAGCTCCTATTACTACTCATCACTAGTTCGCTACTTGAAGACACTGACTTCCTCAGCTCTTCCTAAAACAAAATGGCTTCCAAACACTGTTCCCAAAGTTATTCAGGTTTGAACAAACACTGTGAATTTTGATGTTAAGCCCCCACATTGAGTAGGGAATGAATAAAGTCTTGCATAACTTGAGTAACCTCATGACTGACTCTACTTTGTGCAGGAGTGTCCTGGTTTCAGCTGGGAAGGAGTTAATTTTCTTCCTAGTAGCTGGTATAGTGCTGTGTTTTGGATTTAGTATGAGAATAATCTTGATAACACACCAATGTTTTAGTTGTTGCTAAGTAGTCACTGGTCAAGGACTTTTCAGCTTCCCATGCTCTACCGACTGAGAAGGCTGGAGGTGCACAAGAAGCTGGGAGGGGGCACAGCCAGGACAGCTGACCCAAACTGGCCAAAGGGACATTCCATACCATGTGACGTCATGCTCAGTACATAAACTGGGGAAAGCTGGCTGGGGGGACTGCTGCTCGGGGACTGGCTGGGCATCTGTCAGCAGGTGGTGAGCAATTGCATTGTGCATCACTTATTTTGTATATTCTTTTATCATTATTATTATTTTCCCTTCCTTTTCTGTCCTATTAAACTGTCTTTATCTCAACCCATGAGTTTTCTCACTTTTACTCTTCTGATTCTCTCCTCCATCCCAACTGGGAGGGAGGGGAGAGTGACCGAGTGGCTGTGTGGTGCACAGTTGCCGGCTGAGGTTAAACCACGACAAGGAGTTTTGGACAAGATAACTTCATGAGGTCCCTTCCAACCTGAACTCTCCTATGATCCTATATTTTGACATGCAGTTTTGCTAGTACAGGGAACGTGTGGTGATATTTTGGCTGTCTGGCTGTGCCCACAGCAATATTTGAGTGCGGTCACACCAGTTCTCAAAGCAATAGCTCTGCTTCCGTAGGTAAAATCCAGCTGCTTTTGGTTGCGTAACTACTTAGATGTTTCTGCCTTTCTTAGCAATAGGAGGTAAGATGATGACTTTTTCTGCCTGCCTTAGAGGTCCTGAGGCATGGTTTGCCTATGCACTTTTTTTTTGTCAGACATGATTAAAGACATTAGTTTTGAATCAATTGATAGCCCATGGAAGAAGTGAGGAAGGGAAGAAAGATTAAGTTCCTGATTTTATTGCCATTTGGTTAGGGTAAGTTTAATCAACGACTTAAGAAGATCACAAACACAAGACTGGAAAGGACTGAGTCTGGTCCCTTGCTTTGTGATCAAAGATGGTTTCTTTGTGTAGGCCTACATTATGGCTATACAAAGATTAGTTCAAAGGCTCACTACCTAGGTGAGTCTTCTAATTTTCAGCTTAAATTTATTCATGGGAAGTCTATACCTATCTGCTCTTGTGTGCTGACGTTATCTTTTAGCTTAAGTAGTTTTAACATTGCCTGTATTCATAGAAAGCAGTCAGGAAATCTATGGTAAATTTTCAGTTCAGTTCCAGTTTTGGTTCAGCTGTAGCTGAAAGTATCTTTGACTGTGTTTCAAGCCTGTAATGATTTGACAAGTGGTTTAATAACCCAAAAGCAGTTTGATAAAACCTGAACCACTTTAAGCTTCATGACATCAGAAAATACAACACTTAAAATTGGAGAAATTATAGAACCCATGCCTGCAGCATGGATTTTTACAGCTAATTGGTTTGAGCCACTGGGTTGGAATCTGAGTGCCTCCTAGCACTCTGCCTCAATGTTTTTCCAGCTCTCTGAGCTTCCCGCAGGGGTTAAGGAATTGGAAAGCAGCAGTGTCACTGCTGCATTTGAAAAGCAGTTAGTACTGCTGCTGTGACAGGGTAGGTTAAATGATCCTAAGTTCCTCACCACTGCAAAGAAACTAGCTTTTGCACCCAGCAGCCACTGGTACAGAAGCATGTAAATGCATGCACATACAGTAATGCAATTATATTGGTGCAGAGAAGACAGGTGGGACTGTTGGTGCAGTTAGAGCACTGCTGTCTGCAGCAGCACATAGTTCTCTACCACAGAACAAAAAGAATTAAAGATTCGGTCAGTGAAGTTCTGTGAGGAGCTGTTTCTTAGAACTCAACTTAGGCAGTGCAAAAAATATTTTTCTACTGATCAGGTATGCATGAGTAACTGCAAAATGGATGCAGACTGATCATCACAGGGTCGTGGAGCAGAGCAAGAGTTCATTCTCCACGTATGAGTCACTTGGAAAGAGAAAGGGGGAAGGAAAGGAAGAGGTGTTATGCTGTCTGGAAGATTTCTTGTAGGTAAAACAGCTGAATGCCAGTTTTCTTTAAGACCATTCCTTAGAACTGGTAACTGAAAACACAGCCCAGGTTAAAAAAAAAAAAAAATTAATTCCATCTGCATTTTGAGAAGAAAAAAAGTTTTAACTGCTTTGGAGTTCAGGTTTGATTTGAGATCTGTTCTCTAAACACACTCTTTTTTATCCTGTATCAGTAGGCTAACTAAGCCAGTGATTTTAAGGGTATGTTATGTGGTCTTTTGGGAGCATATACAATATTGATCTGTGTATACTCCATGCCAGTCAGACATCACCACTACGGGGTATCTGGTGTGCAGCTGTTTTGTGTCCATCTCCTGAGAGCACTTTGTACTTTTACATTTTTTTTCCCTAATTCTCAGTATCAGATAATTCTCTTCATATGATCCGCATTTCCACTGGAGTGCACTTCTTATAAAGCCAAGATATTTAGTGAAAATATTAATAAGACTGTTGCTTACATGAATACATGAGGAGTTCCTCTGTTAGCTCAGTTTGCCATATAGTTCTTCTTTTAGTACAATCTTTATTATTTTCTTTGAATAGTTCATTATCCACATTACAATTCATTCACATCTTCTCCATCTTATCATTTCTCATGTGATACTGAAACAAATGCTTCAACATCACCTAGGTTTATTTAATCAAGTATTTGATCAAGTACATTGCCTTTGCTCTGTGTAGTTGGTTATCTTATACAAGAACCAGTGAGTTAGTAAGTCACTTTGTATTTTTGTCTTTTTTTATTTCAATTGTTTTCAACATAGATCTTGAATGATATGCATATAGTAGAGAAGTTCATTTTTACACATATTTAATGTTAATTTCTGGTTTTTAACTAGGCATATAAGACACAAGGTATCACAAAATAATTTATTTGTACAACTTCTTTTGGATACCAAAAGAAATAAGCTTATGTGAATATGGAAGGGATAAATATGAAAAAAGTGAGGTATGATGTAAAAACAAGCAGATCGTGGGGAAGGACTGTGTCGACGAAAATTGCCAGACATTTATTTATTTATTCATTTAGCAAAGTTTGGAGAGGAAAAAAAAAAAAGAAACACTTGTGTGTTGCAAGAGGATTAGGGGAAGTGACTGCTGAAATCAGAGTATAAATGCTTTGCAAGGTCAGTCCCTGGAGCAGTTAGTGAGTAAAATAGGAGTGGAAATAACACAAAGTAATCAAAAAAGTAGGCTACGGTACTAAATGTGTTTGCTGAGTTTCTGAATCTCTAGGATGTCATTCCTGGGCTATACAGCTCTGCTCTTATGTTGGATGTATTGTACTGCAGAAAGAGGTAAGCTTTAATATGAAAAAAAAACCCCACTTTCTTAAAGTGTATGTGAAGATGGTCACTAAAACAATATGTAAATAAAATGTTTGCATTGTAGCCTATTTTAATGAACTTCTGACAACAATAATTGAGATTTCTTCTGGCAGTATTTAGTACCTTTAGTATTTAGTAACCTGTCATAAGTATTATTTCACCTATTTTTATTAATAACTATTGCTGTTATTAATCTGTTGCACAACGTTTTTAATGGTTACTAACCCTTTAAACTAGAGCCGGACAACTCATTTGTTATTAATTATGTTTGTTAATTATTCTAACATCTAAAACCCGTAAACAGCTCGTAGATTAAAATAGAAAATATTCAATAAATGTGCATTTCTTTCTGTCTGGAATAATCTGTGCAATAATCTGAGAAAGAGGAATGATTACTAAATTGACTGAAAAGCTTACAAAATATCTGTTGAATGACAGATTGTTTTTAATCCATTAAATGAGATAAATGTATACAGGTATGGTTTCGTACATGTTTAAAGAGATAGCTAGTATTCTGGGTATATTTTCAGAAGCCTCTGATATTTTCTGCTTCTCTGATTTATTTTTCTTGATATTGTGTTTATATTGTTTAATGTATATTTAGTTATTTAATTCTTTTGATTTCTGTCTGGGTTTCTTTACATAAACTGTTGCGGAAAGGGTGCTATGTGTTTTTGAGCTAGTGTGTCTTTGCTCAGTTCAGGTTGGTTTTAATTTTAGGTGAAGATTATGAAGACCTTATTAATCAAAACAATCTGATGGATTTTACTTTGAAAAATTGAAAAATCAGGACATTAATGAAATGTATTATCTTTTTTATGTATCTGTTCCAAAGCAACTAATAAAGTCTAATTTGTTTGCAAAGTAGTCCGGAAAAGTCCTGGAATTTTAAAAGAAAGTTTGCGTGAATTTGCACTTCCTTTTCACAATGCTTTCTTTAGATCAGAGAGATTGCAAAGGAATGTGAATGTAGCAATATTTGATTTAGCGGGGACAGCTATTACCATGGTCATGCAGGGTTCTTAATTCAAGCTTCATATTGGAAGTCTATGTGAGTTGTTCGAGAGCTGGCTTTTTGCCCAAAGGCTGAAAAATTCTTCTACCTGAATTCATAGTTTGTGCTTGACTTCATGGAAGTTGCTACCAGCATAATGACTGATGGCAAGAAAGCAGCTTGAGCTATTTCTAACTGAGGTCCAGTCACATAAAAATACTAAATGATTAATTCCAGCTCTCCTAGTCTCTCACTAAAGGATTTGAAGGTATGCATTTAGTGCATGCTTTCTAATATAAAAATAAAACTCTCCCAATTTTGGTGAGTACACATGGTGAGTGCATGATGTAATTAATACAGTTTTGAAGTACATCCTGTCAGCAGATTTATTCTTCTCAAGCTACTAAGAAACCTCATTAAAAAAAAAGAATAATTAGCTATAGTCAGAAATACATATACATACTGTGACACTTGATGTTAACACATAGTTTAACATCAGGACAGGAGTGGTAAAGAACAGAGAGAGTTGAAATAAAACCCAGAAAGAAGCATGTCTTAGTAATGATGAAAAGACTATCAGGAGATTAGCTTTCATGCCTTTTTTTTTTTTTTTTAATGTAAACGAGGAGTTAAGAGGCCCCATTCTGCACAACAGACAATAAAAATATAATACAACTCAGAAGGGAGGAATAGAGCAGAGAAGCTCTCCCTGTACTAAATAGCCTATTTTTTAAATTGTAGAATTCAGAGTGTGCTTTCTTGGCTTGCAAACTGAAAGCATTAATTTTAATGAGCTCTAATGAAAAATATGTAGAATTAGAAAAATTCCTTTTCTCATCATTACAAAGAACTTTTTTGGGGGTAAACTCAGCATTTTTAACACATTTGAAAGACAGAACTAGCTAGAGGAATCTTGTTCATTTTGCTTATTCCTGCATTTTGCAAAAATGTTAAAAAGTGAATGTGTCTTAATCTTGCTAAGAAAAGTATGTCCCTGCTACCTTTTTGGATAGTAGGGTAGTACCCTCTAGTGGGCAGAGGCAATAATTTTTACTCAGATGTAATCATTCATAGGAGGGAGCATACTTATGAAAGTAGTTGGAAAAAACATGAACATGTGGGCATACTCTTTCTTTAGCACTCAGCAGTATTATCAAAGCTTGTCTACTTCTGGCTACTTAAGCCAGCCAAAATAAAGTTATTACATCTCACAATTAACATTCTTTTCTTTATATTTTCAAAATGCCATAGCTACACTTAAAATTATACAGATTTTTTTCTTGTAACAAATCTTTTTCTTGATTTTTAAACAATTTTCTAAAATTATGCCTCTAATTTGGTAATTACTCCACTGACTGAAATAAAAACAGTGAGTGTTCAAGGGTATGTCTTTGTATAACTAAAGTAAAATTCACTTTCCACACTTTGATGTGGAAGAATGAGTATTTAATTTGCCCACTTTGTATTAGAAATCACATCTACTTAATTTGTGGTTGTGATCTCCACAGTTCGGTTCAGCAAGCCATAATTCCACATCCCTTGCATGAGGAAAGATCCTACATGTTTTTCCTGTAGTCCCACTTTCAGGCAGCACCTGGACAATCTGTAGGAAAGCTTCAGTGAGAGTATTGCTGCTTTTGTGCCAGCTCTCTACTGAGTAATCGATCTACTCACCAAGACATTTCCTTCCCTGGTGGACATTTCTTCTCCCATTTATTTTCTATACAGAAGTTTCATTTCTTTTCCAAGGCTTCATTTCTCAGAAGTTGTTTTATTTATTCTTGATGAATTCTCACCTTTCACGTTCAGGTGTAAAACAGACTTCATTGCATCAATTAGCTAGACTGTCCAGGCTCTGTTACTGTAAAGCTTCAGCCTTTAAAATAGGTAAATTTTAGTCACCCAAGCACAGAGAATTAGTCACTGAAATTAGGTCAATTATTATAAACAACAACAAAATGTTTCTTAATAAAGATCGTTTAGTCTTTCATTAACAGCTTCCCAACCTTTGTTTCTTTCCCCTTTAGTCTGATTTTTCTTATTCTCAAGCTGTTGAGGAACTTCTTAATAAAATTAATTCAGGCTCATTTCTTGTAATTCATATGGGCTTGGCTGTACATTTCATGGACACTGAAGAAGGCCCAGGAAGGAGCTTTTGGGGAAGGACTGTATAATACTGAGCTAATGAGAAATATCAGACAACACCATCCGTCCCCCAAATTGAGTCAAAATGCTTTGAAGCTAACAAAGGTCAAAGTGAATACCCAGAATTAATTACATTGTGTAATAAGTAACTTGTCATAAGAAGTAATCTCATGGACAGGAGGAATTAAGTTTTGGAATATCAGGTGATCTCAGCCTGGAGAGAAAGTTTAGGCAATGTAAAGGTGAGGGGAGATTTGACAGAACTTGATCAAATGACACATGAACTTAATGTCAGTAAGGATGGTGGTGGCTGCAGAAGAAAATAGTTTGAAAGGAAACTCTACAGAGTGCACACAGTTGTTCTCTATGGTAATGGAAGGACAGGCATGGAGGAGCTCCTACAGATGGAAGGGTAAGAGATGTCTGTGGTTAGAACCAGGGCACTAGTCTCGTTTCAGTCTTTGTAACTAAAATCTATTTTATGAATTATGGCTGTCCCGTGTGGTTTCTTGGCACTTGCTTGACTATTCTTATGTCCTTCTAAATGTCTATTCATATTCCTACAAAATGTGGATTCTTGGAGGTTTTCTATTTTGTGATGATTAAGTAGAAAACATATGCTCGTTTGATCACAAGTGTCCCCAGGATTTCTTGCTATATTTTCTATTGTAAAATTATTTTGGTGTTTGAAGCATGTGCTTCAGTCACCAGTATTTTTATTTACAATTTTTAGCTTGTAAAGAACCTCCTCCTAGGAGGGTTAAAGAAGTGCCTACTGAAAGATGGGACAAGCCTCCCTATCCACATGGTACTCAAGTAACATACAGATGTCGGCCTGGATATATAAAACTTGGACGAATTGTGTTTGAGTGTGCTGATGGAGCATGGAAGCAACACCTCCCAGGGGCAGAATGCAGAAGTAAGTATTTATGCAAAATATGTGCAAACATTTGAACAGACAGATCACATTCCTTGCCAGTGATGTCAATGTGAAATTACCATTGTATCTTTACCTGTAACTTGTTTCAGCATCCTTTAAAATATCATCCTAAAAAGTATGTATGCTTAAAGAAACATTTTTGGAAGTTCCTTTTCTCCAGATCGAAGGATTTTTTTTTTCTTCTTTACAGGAGAAGATCTTACTCTAGGCCAGCCTTATTAACCCAATTTATGTAACGACAAGTTATTAAGTTAAGTTGTTAAGTTATTAGGAGCTTGCTTTCAGAATTTTAGAAAAAGTCTAATGCAGATGAAATTTACAGTCTAAGCAGAATGAAGCAGTAACCTAGCTTCTGAATGTGAATCAAGAGACAGTATTGTCTTCTTTTCAGTCTATTCAACTAGTTCTGTGAAAGATATAATTTCTTGGACGTGGGAAATTGTTTTTCCCTGTCTTCTTTTTTAATCTGTGAAGGAAAATTCATGATTAGGATGAGAGCTGCTATTTATTATCTCTAGTATACTGTGTTAAGAGTTTAGAAGTATCGCACACCTTCATACAGAATTCATTAGTGAAGAAATTTAAGTTTATTATTGTTAGTCAGCAGATACTTCTTTTCTGTAATAAATGACTTTTAAAGAAAGAAATTTTAGACACACGAGCTTTTTTTCTTGCATATCTAATATACAAAATTTTTACTAGTAGAATGTAAATGTTTGGTTTGATAATACAAAATTAAGTCCCAGGTGTCATTCAAACAGAGATGAATACAAATCATGAGTAAAAATGAATTAATAAAGTTGTTACTAGTTTCTTTTACATTTTTTATTTAGTCACCTTTTCGGGTTTTATATGTATTTGTATAACTACTCAGTGAACACAGCTTTTTCAAATTATACAAAATTTGGTGTTGCTTTTTAGTAACATATTTTAGTAAATACTGCCACCCAGTGAGTAGATACTGACACTGGCAAGATGCAGGTGGAAGGAGAAAAGGGATCGTCTGCCACAGGCTAAGTGATCACGTTCCCTTTTCAGGATAGGCCACACTAGACAGCAAAATTGATCATGAGGTTGTCCGTTTTCTCTGAATCACACTGGAGCACGTTTAGGGCCTAGTCAAACACCTCTTCCTTGGAAAAAACAAGGATGTTGATACACTCCAAGAAATGAAATTGCCTAGCTCGACAGGGACCAGGAAAGATTTCTTCTGAGGCGGCCTAATAGGTTTTAGCTATGCAGTTTATTTTGCGGTCCATATTATAACATCAAAAGTGGATGAATGAGAGGGATGGTGTGTTCATCTTTGCAATTCTTTTGGGAATCCAGGGCAAATAGTTGGGGCCAGACCACAAGAAAAGTCCTATGGGGAACTTTGAGCAGAAAGGACTGAGGACCAAAAGACTCGTGTGGCCTTAGATCATTCCTCTTTACTCAGCACAATCCCCATCAGATTGAGGAAATTTCATTTCCAGTCATGGATGGATTCTGTAGTGGAAGCTTTGGACCAGTTTATGTCACAAGTTGTATGAAAAGCTGAAGTTACATCCTGCCATTAAATTTGTCGTAAAACTTAAGATAAGCTCAAGCCTTTTTAAAGGAATAAAACCTGCTAATATATATATTTTTTTTTAAATCAGCAGATCCTTACTCCAATATGTTCTCATTGAAGATAGTGATTAAAAAAGGGGGGGTTAATCAAGCTAATGCTGAGCATTTTTGAATTTTTGAAAGGCCCATACTTGCTACTAATTGCTAGAAAAGTGCTCTTTCACACTTTCACATTCCTATGTATGGTGTAAGTAATTTTTTTTTCTTCTTCTTCTCTTTTTTACCAGATAAGCCCTGTGGACATCCTGGAGATACTGAGTTTGGTTCCTTTGAACTTACCAGTGGAAGTGAATTTGTATTTGGTGCCAGAGTTGAGTACAGATGTAATGATGGGTAATACTTATTTAATTCAGTATATGGGAGTTAACATAAGGTGTTAATGTTAAAAGAAGTGTCAGCTATAGATTTGTTGTCTGTAATGCAGCTACAACTTGCTAATATTTAATGCTTGGTTATTGTTTAATTTAAATTTCTGCAACTACAGTAATACTAAAGGTAACTCTTTCTCATGTCTGGCACTATTGAAGTAACTGAACTCATGCACCTGAAGCTGTCATCCAAAATGTCTAAAATATGTAAGGCTGTAGCTAACTTCAAATCATGGTGGTCTGAGTAGAAAACAAAAATAGCGATCTGTCTGCAAAGCTGCCTCATGACTCCACCAGCCAGCCAGTTCAGATGGAAATGCAGCTTTGTATGCTGGAATCAGTGCTGTCAGCAGGCAGTCATGATGCAGTTATGTCAGTGAAGTCATTAGGCCATACAACAGTCTCCTATTCAGAACCACAACTCATCAGTCTTGCTTAAATCATTTTTGTGCATTATGAAGTAAAATGTATTGTAAAAAATGTTTGAAGAAAGACATTTCTGGTAGACTCACTAACATGTCTTCACTGTCTGCTTGGAAGAAATTCTTCTCTCTTCCTCCTCTATTCATCTTCTCCACTTAAAACTGCAGCAAGGCAAATACATAGTATTGTGCTTAGTTAAGTATGCCTATGACAGGATTCTTTCCTCTTGAAATGCAAGACGGCTATAAGCATGGTACAGTGGTTTAGCCATGCTTTTGCAGTCTTTGTTTTGCTGGAATCTAGTTTGAGTTCCACAAAAAGAGTTCCAAAATCAATATTCTCCTTAATCCCTTAAATTCAGACAGTTCTTCACTGTCATTTCAGACTAGCTGTGCTTACTCTGACTATATTTCAGACAAAGCAGAAGCCATGACATTGTGGCCATGTTGCCCTCAAACCTAAGATAATACTAGCTCATCAAAGCATGAGATACATATGGTTTGGATTAAGTCCTAATTTGATGCTGTCACATGGCTTTCAGTCATAGTAGAGCACAGGCAACAGGAGTTTTACTCTCCTTGCTATTGATTGTGTGAATTACCCCTAGGTTATTTGTTATGTAGCCAAAGTTTGCTATCTCTAATAAAGAAGCAAGCCATCTTACTGATTACTTCCTACTTTCTGTTTTTTTTCATATTTTTTGCCATATGCAATTAAAAGAAACAAAATAGGGAAGATGCAGGCCAAAAACCTACTTTTGTCACATTTTGGTTAGTCTGTGCTAGAACATATGAAACCTACTTCCTTTGCTTCAAAAACAGCAGCTGTTTTTGAAACTGCTGTTTCTGTCACATAATGAGACTGAATTTTAGCATTGTTTACTTTTTATTCGGTAAGATACCGGATGCTCAGCCAAAGAAATTACCGTGAGTGTCAGGCAGATGGATGGAGCAATGACATCCCTCACTGTGAAGGTAAATGGAGTTTCATATTTAATTCTTTATCAAACTCTCTTTTTATCTGTCTGATACTATCTAGAACTAGTCTGTGATCTCTTTACTAGTATTAATTCACATATGTTTAAATTCAAGTTATGCAGCAGTGAAACTCTTACAATGACTGCTCAGCCATTTTAGTCCAATAAGCACTCAAGTTTTTTTTAAAAAGTATTCACAAAATTGAGTCCTGTCACCCCCAGACTGGCTTAAAGTTCTGCCTCACCTAAAAGGCCCTGACAGAGTAGATGTCTGCAAAACATGGTTACAAAAGACAGCTGGGATGAGGCATTTCAGATGTATGTGAAAGCATGTGTGTTTTTAGCTAGTTTCCTCCTCCACCCTTGTGAACATCCTAGCCATTAAGATTTTGTTACAAGTTCTTCTCCCTATTAGCATACTGGGGAAGAACTTCACTAAGTAAGAATGAGAGACCCAGACCTCAAGACTTAATAGACTGGATGGTTTGGAGGATACTTCCCTGATTTTGGAAACCTTTTCACCAGTTTCAAACCTGTATGATTATGAAAATAAGCATCCTTTCTTCCCAAAGATATTTTTAACTGGTCTATTTTAACATACGTGTGCAGCGGTGAAATTTCTCTTTAGGTTAAGCATCTAATGTCAGGAAAGGGTTTCTAAGTAAAGAATCACAAATAAAAGTAGGTATCTTTCTCTTGTCTAGAGTTTGTTGTCTGTGTTTTGACATTTCCTTGGTCTCAGATATTTCACATTTAGTTTACTGGATTTTGAGTGTCTTCAATTTTAGGCATACAGGTCTCTATCTGCACAGTATAGAGCAATGGTTTCCAACATTTTTTGTCACATGTCACCAAGATACTGCAATTTCAAAGTCCTCATAAGATTTTTCTTTCATGATCAAGGAGTTTTCATTAGGCTGAAATATGATTGCCTATGAAAGAAAGTATTTGTATAATGTCCTAATTGTGAGGAACCCAGATGATAGAATGTGAGCTCATAGAAAAGGCAGATGGCTTATAAAATGGAGAATGTTGTCAGAGAGAAGTGGGAGCTGTGGTAGGCAAAACATCAAGCCACTTTTGTACATGCTCAGTGATATCTATGTGAACCTTTAAGAATGAGATTTGGTAGTCATTTCCCCCTTAATAAGAAATACCTGATGACATACGTTAATTCTTCCTTTTTCTGCAATTACAAAGTTAGGAGATACAAGAGGTCTAAATTAATGGCTGACATTGTGTTTGTTTACTTTAGTAATGTAATTGTTTTGATATCCTTAACTAGTTAGTAACTGAACTGTTGTAGTCAGTCTATAACACAGCACTTTTCCAGATATTTGTCTATAGCAAATTCAGTTTGGCATAGCTCTAAAGTAAATTAAACTATTTTGACAAAGTTTAATGGCCCTATGCGTCAGTTAAGGTTCATCTAACCATCCATAGAATTCATAGGATCATAGGATAAATTAGATTGGGTGAGACGTCAGGAGGTCATCTAGTTCAGTGGGTGCTGTGTCTTTAGCCTTCAAGGGCAGAGAAGAGGATGATGAGAGCCAGCCTACAAGCTTCCTCCTATGTCAGTCTGTCTTTTTGCTTAGGGTTTTTTATTATATCTGTTGCAAATGGTATCTGAATACATAACAAAAGTGTGTATTTTTAAAATATGTAAGGAAATTACAGTGAGTTTTCTGTTTTTTAATTTTTTTGTGTGTCAATTTATTTTACAGAATAGACCTCAAAATGGCTGTTTTTTTCCTTTCCTTTTGTTTTGTTTTGTTTTATTTTCCAGTGGCAAAGTGTTTACCTGTACAAGCACCAGAAAATGGAAGAATAATTATGACTGGTGCATTTGAGCTAGGCCGAGAATATTCCTTTGGCCAGGTTGTAAATTTTGAATGTAATGCAAAATACGGGCTTGTTGGATCTAAAGAAATAATTTGCTCTTCTAATGGAAAATGGAATAGTGATGTGCCTCAGTGCCAAGGTAAAAAGGATACTATTTATTTTCTGTAATTAAGAAGCTTTATTCTCACAGACTTCTAGGGACTGGTTACCATATGGGAAACTACAAAGCTTTTACTTTATTCCACAGCAATTAAGCACAGTTTGTGTGTAAACAATCTCCATTGCATATATGCAGAAGAAGTAGGATAAGAAGAGTCAGTATGTAAAAATGGATCCCAGGAAGCTTATGGTAACAATCACTGTTAAATATATAGTCCATCAAGTTTCTTAGATTATTTATATGTTATCTGATCGGGAAGTAGGTGTTTAGAAGGGCAGAGTACATATGTCGGGATGTCAGATACATGTGTGGTTTTTTCACAATTTCAGCGCTGCATTTTGCTGCGTTGAAACGCCCATTTATTATAATTTGAACAGCATAAAGTGGAATTAAACACATGTGCTTGTAACATTTGCAGAATATAGAATTTTATTAAACAATGACAGTTTCACTGAGCTATTTTTCATCCTAAATACAAAGTAAATCTAGCAAATGAATCCAAGGACACCAATCTTTGGTGTCCTGCTCTGTGGCCGAGGAAACAAAGCCTTGAATATTTTCTGGCTTTATGAATACAGTTTTTGGAAACTGCAAGATCTCAGTGGTTTTATTGGGTTTGGCAAGGATCTGGGGATGCTGAGGTTCTTTTATAGCTAGTGAAGCATTCTAGTGTCAGTTTTCCAGATAGTTTAATTCTTTTTCCTGTTGATGCCATGATTTAACTAATCGTCTACTGGCTATGAGAGAGTTTTAGGTTTGCTAGAAATAACAAGGAAATGAAATTATCTGAAAAATGGAAAATCCTAAATTACAGCTAGCATAGTTGCTTATTTTACAATGTCCCCTGCCTTATATGCTGATTCTGAGATCCATTAAAATCCAAAGCAAAGCCCTGAAATCTGTCTCATGAACCAATTTGCTATTGATGCTGTGCTACACCACACTTTCTACCTGGCACCCACAATCAGGTCATTGAAGAGTTCTCAAATAAGTTGCAAACAGTTTCCAAATGCAAATGTTTTTGTGAAGTCAAATGAAAAAAACCCTGAATTTTATTCCAATAGGCATTTATTCTCAGCAAATAAAAATAAACAAAAATATATGGGTTTTGTCTTTCTCAATTTCAGAGATTATCTGTGATGTGCCAAAAATTCTGCATGGATATGTACGTTCTCCAAAGGGGTCTTACAAGGAATCTGAACAACTACAGTTTGGCTGTGATGAAGGATACAGATATGGTGAAAGAGCAGATGTACAATGTACTGAATCAGGATGGAATCCAACCCCTTATTGCACTGGTTAGCCTTGCCTAAAGTTATTTTGCACATCTGTTGTGTTTGGAAGTAATTTCAGAGATTAGTAATGACAAAAGTTAGTTTATTCATAACAAAAGAAATCCATCCACATCTGACCAATATCCCATGAAGACCTGGAAGGATTAAGTGTTAAAGGGACCAAACAACTGGATAAGAGTTTTCCATGGAGAGCAGTAGCAAAAACAGTTAATTCAGTCTTTTGTTACTTGAGTGTAGTTAAATAGGTCCACGAAGCAACAATTGCTCCAGTATACTGCATAAATGAGATTGATGCTAAAATACTTCACGTAGCTGTCGTTATTTTATTCTTTTTTTATATGATTCTGATTTAGTGGGGAGAACATAGGAAAAGGATTACTTGGGTTAGAAAAAAAATCCTAATTTGGACAAATTGGAAGGATGAAGCTGAATCTCTTTACCTTCTACAAAATACAATGAAAATGTTTTATCTAAGGAATGGAAAAATCACACACTAAAAAGAATATTTAAACAAGCAGGAAAAAAAAGTATTAATACCTGAGAAATTCAAACTGTAGAAGGAATCTGCAATTTTTAATGGCATGGGAAAACCAACATTTGAAACCAACTCCTTGGAGAAGTGGTGTGGTTTTTGAAGTCCTATTGTCTTCACACCAAGTCTCGATACCTTTTTAAGTCTGTTTAACATGAACATAACTGGTACAAGTCAGTGGCTGTGCTGTATGTTGGAAGACTGGGTAAAGAAATATTTGTTTGATACCATATGAATTGCAGCAGTATGAATAAAATTGGGGAAAGCTAATAGTCTTAGCTTGATGACCTACTTATGAATCACAAGCAGTCCTTTGAGGAGGAGATACAAGTTAATGCATCTTCAGGTCTTCCATGTTCAGTAGTTGAGATGCTGTGTCACCATAGCCAAGACTCTGCTACTTGTAACCGTAGGACTAACCACTCAGTAAAATACCACTCAACATCTCACCCTGTATGAACATTTGAGACAACAGAAGTTTGCTTGACCTACTGAACTGACCTCTGCATTTTGTCTGAGTGTCCTGATGAGTCTTACTGTAGTTTGAGCAGACTGAGCACCTGGTTGCTAGTCATTATATCCATTCTTGAAATTTCCAGACTACTAGTTCTGATCAACCAGTTCCAACCAAAGAAGAACAATTAAAAAATGATCCCTGTTTCACTGACGGAACTTCAGTAACAAATTGTGCAACCTTTCAGAAATGACTAGAAATTACAAAAGTATCTTTCAAAGTACTTTTGTAAGCTGCCTTTCAAGAGTTCTTCTGAAATAGTAAGGCAGTGTTGTAGGAAGAACAATCTGAAGCTGACATGGCTATTTCCAAAGGGGTTCGAGCACATGTGAAGTAGTCCAATTTCAGAAGGACAAGTAGTCCATTGATGGCCATAAGTGTCTAAGCTGAAAATTACAATGGAATTGTAGTGCTGGATTATACATAAAGCTGAATACAACAGTACTTTCTACACAGCCGTTATGTCAAGAATTGTGTACAACATAGATTTGAAGTTCACTAACCCTAAGAACCATGGACACAAAGTGATGTATAAAAAGAGACCAAAGTAACGTGGTATGCATGAATCCTGCCGCTGTCCATGACCCTTAGTCTAGGATGAAGACAGCAATTTGTTTAATGTCATCGGAACTGTAATTGCACAACCACATTATCCATGGTGTTCAAACTTCCCATCAGACATTGTCTGAGAATCTCTACAAATTAATATATTTACAATGCTGAAACTCCCTCTTGCTTTTTAACTCCCAAAGGCCTTCTGAGCAGTTAAGATGGCAAATCCATAATTTCTGAGACTAGTCCTGTTTGACATCAGCCCTCTGGGTCATGGATCTTACTTTAGTTTCATTCAACTACAGCACTTAAAGGCTATAACTAAATCTCCAAGTCCCACAAACAGAAATATGCATGTTATGTCCCAGTTGAAATAGTTTGATGTAAATTTTGGGGAAATCATTAGTGCCTTGAATTGTCTTCAAGAAATTGCCAAACACTTGAAACTGGAAAAAAACGTTGGCAACAGGGCAACATAGGATGTTATGTACCACCCACCTTCCTGGGACCTCTTCCAGAAAGACTCCTTTAAAAATAAAGAGTAGTCAGTCTTAGTGTCCACTCAGTTCTCGACCTTTCTGCTTCAAGATTAGTAATGATAGTAATTAATATGCATTGCCTACGGTTTAGCAACATACTGCTTTTGAGAAGTGCCAAAGAAAACATTCTTCCAGCCACTGATATACTGGACCCTGATACTTGGGGCATATTCAAACAGTGGTTCTGGATCCTACTTGACTTGCCACTGAACCTAGATGATTCAGCAGTACATGCATAGAGCTGATTCACCCACCTTCACCCCACAGCAGGACCGATCTGTAGTTACCTTATAGCCATCCCCTCCCAGCCCTGAGTGCGTTGGTGGTATTTTCTAAATTGGAAGTAGAATACAAAAAAAAAAAAAAACAAAAGACAGGCTCCGGTTTATAAATAGTATGTTTTCCTGGCTTCTGCAAGCATAAAGATATCATGAGCTTTTTAGAATAGCATTCTCGTCCTTTCTCAGTTGTTGAAATATTTCCAGTGTCAGTGCAAGACCCTAATCTTAATCACACAGCCTTTGAATGATCAGTTCCTAGTTAAGTATAGTTATTTCTCCATTTAAGACCTGCCAGTGAACCTGCCCTCCTTTGGGACAGTGTCCATAAACCAGACCAGGAGGGCTGTGAGTGAGCCCAGCATAGGTCATTTTGAGCTCCAGCTGTGGAATGACCTACTGGAAAAGATTAGTCAAATTCAGTTTGATCTCCTCTAGTTCTTGCTCCAACCATTCTCTTTGCAATTAAGTTTTAATCTTGTAATTAGCATGACATCAGTAACAGCTGTCACTCTCCTCTTACAGAACCATACATTTCTAAGAGCGGGAGAGAAATGTAGCCTTTTCTTTGCCCTAAGAAACATCTTTTTAACAATTTTATGCAGTTATGGTCAATACACTATGAAAATAAGAACTTATGCAATAAACATAAACATATTCTTCAAATTAGCATCCAATGTTTCTCTTTTCATTTAGAAATTGTGTGCTCTCCTCCAAGAATTCCCAATGGGAACTTTAGACCTCAAGAAGACAACTACGTAGTAGGTGATATAATCACAGTACAGTGTAATCCTGGATATCATTTTAAAGCATTGACTGGCAAAAGCACAGCAGAATGCACCAAGAATGGCTGGGTGCCTGATCCAGGCTGTGTCCGTAAGTAGCTCTCATGAATGAAGACACAATATGTAGAGTTGTTGGAAATGTCTCAGTGAAAAAGAGGTCAAGGGAAAAACTTAAGAAGCATGAGAAATGAGAGTTGCTTATTCATTGTGTTTCTTCATGATGTAAAGCTTAATTTGACGGTTTAGAAAAATCGTCTATGAAACCACTGGTATAATCTACTTTTACATTATGTTTATAAACACAGGTATTATCTATTCCTGTATTTGTGAAAGTATGCATTAAAAAGTGCTACAGTCAGCTCCCTGTCAGGAAGGTTTGTGGTCCACCTGAGGAGTAGCATGCCAGTCAAGATAAGAGGACATAGTGAGTGTTAAAGTATCCAAACCAAAACGAAACATAGGTAATGGCTGCAAGGTTTCTTTCATCGTAGTTATCACAGCTTTAGATTCTTACTTGCAGTTGTGTGTTGGTATATTATGAGCAATCACAGTTTTATTCTACCTGTTATAACCTGTCAAATAAGAAAACGAGGTATTCTTGATTGTTTATGAGTCCTTTCTTGGCTTAAACTTCCCATAACTACAATGATAGTTTTGCCCAGTAGGCACGGCATTAACAAATAAGTAAATAAATAAGCAATTAATTTCATAATCCAGCACTCTGATCTTTGGTCAGTGAAAATAAAAGAAAAACTTAGAGAACAGGAGGTGAGAGAAACCCTGATGAAATCAGTCTTGCAAATGAACCTTTGGATGATTTGAACTATTCCCAAAAAGTGCACTGTTAGTATCTGGATTAATCTTTTCTCTATGTATGTGCGGGTTGTAAAATTCAGGTATCATTCTGAGACCACCTCATTCGTTATTGAATGGTCTGTCCAGCGCCCCAGCAGTTAGGCTCTGGGTCAGAGTGCTTCAGGAGGAACCTACCTGCCGTGGGCCGAGTAGGACACCCTGGGTAAACTTGAATGAAAGCTTCAGGGACTCTCCTCCTTCTATCCTTGACTTGGCCCTGAAAAGGGTCAGTTCTTTTGAGGAACTGCGAGAACAAAAGAAAGACACTATAGTTTTAAAATAAAAATGAGAAGAGCTAGGAAGAGCTTTTGGTGCAGAATCCAGAAAGTTACAAATGAAAATGGTGACAGGAGTCATTTCAATTTTAAGAGTCCACAGTTCAGTGTCTATACCTGAGCTACCTGTCTGGGCTCCCATCATGGCCAGTATAGTAAACTTAGTCAAGACACTCTACAAAAACAGTGTCATCCCACCGTAGAATAAATCCTTACATTTGGTCTCATGAATCAGCCTTTGAAGTCCACTGAGAATATTAACTGGGTTTCTGATGGTTGCAATGGAAACGGAGGGAACCAACAGAGGCATAGGTAATGACAAAGTCACCAGAAGCAGAGTGCAATTGTTCCTGCACTCCTTAGGATCTGCCAAGGTGTGCAGTCCCGATTCTGTCCGTTTCAGAAAACACTCAGATGATGAAGCTGCATCTGAATTAATTGTGTCCTGACCTTTTTGTCATGCATGTGTTGATATTGTTGCTGTTAAATTCTATTTCAAGAGAAACCATGTGACTACCCAGCTATAGAAAATGGCAAGTTAAGTGAAAGCATGGAGAACTACAAAAGCTATTACTTTCCAATGAAGTTTGGGCAGCAAACTCATTACTACTGCAATAATGGTTATTCAACCCCGAGTGGAGAATTCTGGGTTCTCATGGTCTGTTCTGAAAGGGGCTGGTCTCCAGAGCCAAAATGCCTCAGTAAGTACATTTCCACTTTATGCTCAATTATGTTGTAACTATCAAAGGTCTGTGCAGCAGAAATTGTGCCGATGGAGCACAAGACGGAGCAAAGAACAGTTTGTTAAAGTAGAACTGCTGTAGTTGACCCCTGGAACTGCACCCAGACTGTCATCCTATATGCAGAGCTCAAACTGTCAGCTGGTAAGTGACACTCTGAAATGAGTAAGGCTGAAACGATGCTTTTGGGTTTTGGAGATTCTTCACTCCTGAAACTATCCATAAGATTAAGAAATACATTGGAAGTGTTTCTCTTCTCTGGCTTCTGTGTCACGTGCATGCATCTACTTTCATCTGCACACACAGCTGCACATACAAACAGAGAGTTTCTACTCCATGTAAATATAGTCTTCCTTCTGTGGCTTGGGCACTTTGTCTAGAGGTTCCTCTCCGAGATCCATTGCCTGGTCCCTTTGGATAACATGTGGGGCTGAGAAGTTGGCACACTCTTGCAATAAGCTGAAAGTGAGCATGGCATCAGCAAGAGATCCAGGTACACTGACCTAATGATTGAACTGTAGAAAATAGATTTACAGCAGCGAGCTGAGGCCTCCTCTCCTAACACACATCTTCAGTCACAGAAAAGTTCCTACCTACTGGTAGGGCTTGGAAGTGGATTACAAAAGGTTGGTCTTTCCCTGTTGCCCTCAGTGGAGTGGTGCTCAGTGCAGGAAACGAGTGGAGTCCTGCCCAGAGGAAAGGGCCAGTTACCCAAGTAACACAGCTATAGCATTCCTTCAGGCATCTTCCTTGTGTCTGGGCTCTTGGGGGCACAGGATGCTGTAGAGCCAGCGTGCTTAGCTGTTGCTAAAATCTCTAGAGCTGGTTTGAGAGGCTGATACATTTGCACAGAGATGATGAAAACTTCTGGAGGCGAATGCTGAAAATCACTCAGGGCAGACATCAACATTTTAGAGACACAGCAGATCAAACCAGAGCTGGTGTACATGATGCTAGATGCGCTGAAGGTAGCCAACCTTGCTTATGAACACGAGGTAAGCGATATTGTTTACTAGACCACTTCTTAGCACTTCATGTAGTGACTTACACTCCTGTTCATGCGATTCATTAATCTTAGGGCAGTGAAACAAGACATGCTTTCATTCAGGTTTGAGAACGAATGTCTTTTGTGGATAGAAGGATACAGAAAGGCGCTAGGAGGCCCTTTTTTAGTAACTGTTCCTAAGAATTATTTTACCTCAGTTCCTGATGTACAAATTACTGTGGTTAAATGTAGTTACCTTCCTTCTTTAGAAAAATGTCATGTCAGACGGATGGCAAATGGTTATTTCTCACATAACCGGAAGTATGTTTACAAGGAAGGTGAAAGAGTTAAATATGTCTGCAACGATGGCTATCATACTGAACGTGAAGATGGGGAAGTCACGTGCACAAAGGATGACTGGTCACCTCCTCCACGATGTGTCCGTAAAAGTGAGTGTGCTTGTATTTTGTTGAGGTTTCTAGCTAAAACCAGTAAATCCACCGTCACATCACCTACATTAATCCATAAGCGCTGCTTAGTAACTGTAAGTCTAGGTGCTCTACAACTGAAACACAATGCTGTGATTCTCTCCACTGGCTCATGCAGCTCTCACGTCCCTGTATGCTGCTGAGGTCAGTCACTGTGCAAACATGGAGAATGTAACCCTGTAAAACGTCCACACGTGGTTCATTCAGATCTCCTAGAATGTAAGCTCTGGGATGGGAGTCATAGTCCCTTTGTCTTCAGTAGTGAAATCTTGTTATAACATAGCTGTGCAGTTAATCATTCCCCTTGTGCAGCCTATCTGTAATTTCTTGTCTCCTTTCAGCCTCTCGCTATGCCACCTGATCCCTGTTTGCCTTGCTTCCTTTCCGGTTGGCATCATACTGGAAGCAGGGAGGAATAGAAAGGTTACTTCTCCTAACTCTGTTTCCAGCTTTGGTTCCTGACTTGCACCAAGCCTGAAATTGCTAGAATGTCTCCCAGGGACTTTAAATACTTTAGGTAACGATTTCATATGGACAAAAGAAAGAATTCAACCTAACTTTTCTTAGGCTGTAAAAATATTTTTTTAGGAAACAATTCCACCCTTAGAGAGACACGGACCATAGAATGTTTTGGACCACCACCCACTGAGATTTTGACATAGCAATGAGCAAGCAAAATAAAAAGTTATGCTTCCTAGTGTTAGGCAATCGTGGGCATTACTGGTATAAACACTAAAAACTTTGATGTGAAATTTAAACTTTTGAAGCTCTTGCACGGAAGTATCATTAACTCTGCTCCCAACATTCAAATACATCCTTTAGCGTTCCTCAAAGGTTTGGGTTTTTTTTGTATCTTTATTTACTTGACTCTCTATTGCACAAATATTGCTATTTGTTGTTGTGTTAATCTCTTAAAAGGAAGAGACTCCTTCACAGAATAACTTATTAGTAAAGAATTTAGCAACTACCGAAGTTTTCTTTCGGAATACAAGACCGTAACATCCAACCAAGACGGCTGATTTCCATCCATTTAGACTGGCTTAAACAATGTATTCCAAGTGACGTGAAATCAGTTGCAACATTGCGTCTGTCTGCACTAGTGCTTTAGCGTGCAAGAAGGGGTCCTTTGCTACAAACTTGCTTTAGTCCTGCATATGTGCACTCTGAATGATTTCTCTTTGGTAGAACCGAGGTAGTACCTGCACACCGTGGTGATCTCTGGCATGCCCCTCACTGCAGTATGGACAGAAGGTCCTCTTTATGCATGCACAGTGCAGTGCATGCCCAACATGAATTTCATTTCTAGTGGAGACCAGATGTGGACATCCAATTTTGGAAGCTTACAGGATTGCTGCAAATCAAACCCCTGTCCATCCCTGTTTGTGGTGCATGAGTTGGTAACTGTGAACTTTGATTTTTCACTTTCCAATTGTCCCCCAGGAAGAGAGCTCAATGCAGAAGCAAAATTTCACGTGCTGTTAAAGATGTTCTAAATCCTACTGCTCTTTCATTTGTCCTCCTTCTTCTGTGTATTGTAAGCATGTAGTTTAGCAGTGTTTTACTTGGAAGAAATCCTGTCTATCTCTTTCAGAAATATGCACGAATATCCCTTTTGACAACGGTTATTTCCCCTGGGGAAAGAAAATATTTCATTTACAGGAGAAGGTCACCTATAGTTGTAATACTGGCTTTGTAACTCCAGAAGGACAAGAAACAGGAGTGATACAGTGTCAAGAGAATGGCTGGACTCCACCTCCAAAGTGTATCAGTGAGTAGCATAAAGGCTTCAGAGCTCCCCATCATTGTCACTGGCGCAGACATGATGTCCTATGTACTCAGATTTTTATCATCTAGACTGGTGGAGTTTTCTTGCTGGGCAGAGGGAGACTCAAATAGAGGACTGATCCTCCAGAGATTAACCTTTCTGGGGCTCCAAGGAATAGAGAGAGAAAACATAAAGGAAGCGAGTAAGGCGGGAAAATATCTACCGTCTTCTAGGTGAACTATCTTTTTGGAGCTCTAGCATGAAGTAGATGGTAATCACTGATCTCTCCAGTGATTCTTACCTGATACAAGGTACATATGCCCAAACTGACTCCCAATTCTTCCGCCTTTCACACTTGCGAGGGAAGATTTATGAAGAAATGCCTGTGAACCAAGGGATTCTGCCAAGAACTTTCTCTAAGCATGACCAAACTAGAGAAAAATGGGATTCATTATTTGGAAAGGTGTTATCACTATGCATAAAAAGCACTATGCATATGTCTGCCCTGGTGTTAAAAAGTACATTGGTGAAAAACACCAGAGTGCTTTTTCCTGAAAATACCTCCATACCGTTGCTTTTTCCTCTTAGAAGTTCCTTTCTCTCCTGGACAGGGGTGTAGGATAGTAAAAGAAGAGACTTAATCTTCCAGTGTTATAATACCGAGGCTCATAATATTGACCAGCTTTAGCTGATATTTTATCATGTCCTTTTATTTCAGACTGCCTTTACCTAGGATTTTGTGGCTTTTTTTCTGACCCCCTCACAAATGACCGTGGGGAACAGGAGTACAAACTGTTTGCTACGACACCAATAATAATGTGTAGTAGAAGGAAAGGAATTGAATCTAAGGAAGAAATATTTATGCTAGATACTACTTCTGTACACATATTTCTGAAGATTAATGCAATAGATATTATGTGAATATGCTACATAGGATATTATACATTCATATTCTGGCAATGCATAATTTTTAATGTTTCAAATATGCTGAGTAAGTTCAGTAGACTAGCACACACTAACGCACCTTCAGTCCAAAGGACAGTGTTTCTGGATCACAAAATGCACTAACTTTGTTTTATTCTGCAGAATCATGTGAAACACCTCATTTGGACATTTTGAATTACCACGCAAATAGAACTATGTTCGTGCCTGAAGATACAATTGAATATGCATGTTTGGAGGGATATCAAACTGCAAATAATATGCCAACTGGTACCACAAGGTGTGGCATAAATGGTGAATGGAGTCCAACGCCCCAGTGTCTCGGTGAATATTGTTGTGTTTGCTAATCAGTGTAACTCTGTATACACTTTGTGAAGCTTTTTTCTTTAAGACTTTCTTTGTTTTGTTCTAATCATTGGTATTTCACGTACTTTTTGTAGGGTGTGCACTATATGTTAAAACATTTTGTCTTTGTAGCAATAGAATGTGAGATGCTGACATTGCTCGGTGGAGATTTTTCCCCCAGGGAGGGTAAATACCGCAATGGAGATGTTGTGAAATTTACCTGTGCAAACAATTATGTGAGAGTGGGACCTGCCTCTACTCAGTGCTATTACTTTGGATGGTTTCCATCACCACCAGTGTGTAAAGGTAATTCTTCTGTTAACTTTACTGTGGTAGGAAATATATGAAAATGCCTGGGTCCTGAAGACTTCCGCAGACACCTTCTATAAGCCAGTCTTGCTCCCAAGAACAATTATCCCATCTTCATCGCTAAAAGGGCAGGAACTGGTCCTCTCCAGATCATTTCATAGTGTTCTGCTGTTTCATGTGAAAGATTCTGAACAGCTGAACTTTCAGCGTTGAACTTTCTGTTAGCTTTAGTTATGCCAATTGGAGTTCTGCAGTAACTGAAAGTGAGCTGGCAAGTGGCTTGCGCAAAATTTCACTCGTGAAATTGACTGTAATGTATGAAAAATTATTTATTAGTCAAAAAGGCATAAATAATGTGCAATATGGCAGCCAGGAGTGATTAATTTGAGTAATGTCCTCTCTTACTGTAGCCTAAATGTCCTAAGTTTTGCCACTGCCTAATGTTGATACCCATCAGATATTGTGCCCTATGTTCCTTTTTCTGATCACAATGTATTGAAGAAAAAAACCTGTTTTGGAGATGACACAGGGCTGGACCCAAGCAAAAGAAACTCAGTGAAGGGTTTTCCCTGTGAAATTCCTCAGCTTCATCCGGTAGGATGAACAAACTCATGCAGAAGGGAAGATCTGTGCCTCTATTCTTCTCATCCTTTTTAAGACAGAGCACAACTTAGTGGCAGCTGAAAAGAGTTAATTTTGCTGGTGCTATGCCCTTTCATGAGGCAGCTCGAGAGGATGAAGGGATCTCATATTTCTCATCTCCCTTTCTTCCCACTCAGTCAATTTCGTTGTCTTCCATGCTCTCATCCTTCTTTTTGCTCACTCTCTTTTGCATCGAAAACCAAGTATATTTCATATAGTTGGCTCTTTAGCTCAGGAACATTTTAAGCTCCCTTAACAGGAGTTCCATTCACTCCATCAGAAGTGAATTTATTTAATATATAGTATCCATTCACTATCAGAAGTGAATTCCTTTAATATATAGTACATGTCACTTGCTGGGTGACTTTTATAACATAGGTTATTCTTACTTGCAGAATTTTCAGCTTTTTTTTTTTTTTTTTTTTTAAAGAATACTGAAGTTGTCATCCATGTAACACTTTTTTCTCTTAAAACTGGGTTGGTTTTATCAACCACTTCTTTTATCATAGCAGGAAATTGACAGTGCATGGAAGTAAGAGAGTAGAGTGAGCCAGGGTCACGCGTATCTGTGATCTCCAACCCAACACAAATCCAGATATTCAAAGGCATAAACCAATGACCTGATTAACCTGTTCTACTGATTTTTCTTAGCTTTAAACAACAAATTCAATTTATTTTGTGTTGCACCTAACATATAACTGTGCTAAAAGTATTGAGTTCAGAGCATAGATTTGATCTCTCAATTTCAGAGAACCCCAGAGGCTGTGGACCTCCACCTGAGATTACCAATGGAAGTATTGCTGGTGGCTCTGTGGAACAGTATCGGCATGGGGACAGAAAGCAATATGAATGCAACGTCGAACTGAAATTGGTTGGATCAAAGGAAATAGAATGTGTTGATGGACAATGGTCATCTCCCCCCTCTTGCATTGGTAATCTATATAACTCCTACTTGTGAGAAGTCTATAATTCACTGTAGGCTAATACTTCACAGATATTTTCACAGTTAAAATTACGTATTTGCAGGTATAACATGTTACGTTCAAAATTGTGCTAGGGATGAAAAGTAAACACACACTGTATCTAAGGCCAAAACTTTATTACTAGTATAATTGAAATCTCAACAGTCCAATCAAAGTATTTTTGTGAGTCCAGATCAAATGATTATAGAAAGAGAATGAAAATTAATACGTAATATATAAAGAATAATTATAAATATATAAATAATACAGAATATCTAAATAATAAAATACAGAATATCTAAGTAATACAAGTAATTTATAATATATAACTACAATTGTTATACACACACTTTCTCTTATTTACCCCTTTTTCTGGTGGTGTTATGCCCCTTCCACTGCCCCTTTGGGTCCTAAAGTCAATGGCTTCAGTCTGGTGTGTTTTGGAGGGAAGTTGCAGCACGTTAATCAGTTTCTCAAGTCATTCACTGGGAGGAATAAGATGTTGATGCTGCTCTTCCTCCTTACAGGATCTGCTTGGGGCAATTTTTAGGTTTGCTAGCATGCTTTTATGCCTTGCCCTTTTTGCACTGGTCTACAAGTTCTGAATTAGATATGTTAAGTGTGTTTTAAATATGTTAGATGCTTGTTCTTTATGTTACCCCTAAAACCAGTTGTGATCAGCTCCAGGTCAAGCTGGCCTTTTGTGAGCTATTCATAGCCTTAGGGTGCCATGCTATGCCCTGTCTCTTACCATCCTGTGCCTCTACTCTGCCACACCCAACCTTTGTCCCCACCTCTCAAGGACTCTCTTATCATACCAGCCCTGTATTCACCCTCATCATTATATTAGAGTCAGAATTACTCACTCTACGTAGACTAAAAACTTGCTGCTACTATGTATATAAAACTATGGTTGTGCCATTCAGAGATAACCAAAAGTAAAATAAATTAGCTATAGCCTAGTCACTAGAAAAAATGCTCTTACAGCTAAAATAAGTAAAACCAAGCCTCCAGGCAGGTCAGGACAGGTTCTGACAAAGTAAGCCTCATAAGCCTCCATCCTGAGGCCTTGCAAGCTTGGTACAAACTCTGTGGCCTCTTTCTAGTAATGGCAATACAGTATGTTACTGGGGCACAGGGCTGCAAACATGATGACTACAAACACAAACATGCATTATGTATGTTGCTGTCTTCCCTAGGCTAGAGTCAGACATGTCCCACAGTTTTTTATAGTCCTGATACTGAAACGGTGAGTTGTTCTACAGTCGTCTCCTGCCTAAACAAAAGCACCCACTTTCTGTGCATGTCTTTAGGTAGTGTACCTCAAACCTGAGAGTATGAATGTCAATGACAAGAGCTAAAAAATGCTTGTGCAAAACTACTATTTGTTTGTTAGGACAGTGTCTCAGAGTTGAAGTAGAATGGAATATTCAAGCTGAAAATCTGTAAATGCAGAAAATAATTCAAGGCGTTCTTATGGCGCAGGATGATCTAACAGCAGAACCAATAAATGGTGGTTTTTTTATGGACTGGTTTACTCTGTTCCTATACGTATACATTCTGACACGTTTTCCATGAGCAACACTGATGGTTTAAAAATGTACAGCATGGAGCTTGCATCTTTTCAATCCTTGATCCAGTGAGAATAGTTTCAGTGCACAGGCTTGAAAGAAGAGTGGTCCAAACTTGAGTGCAGAGTTGCTCAAATTCAATTTTTGAGTTTATCATGGGCCTTCCCTCTCCCACATTAAGAGCAGGCCATATGCCCTTATTCCCCTTACATGCCTTTTTCCTCCTTCAGAAAAACTACTCACACGCTGCACTCATCTGTGGAAGCCATTACCCTTTGCTGTCACTGCCACTGCAACGGTGACAGCCCAAAGCAGGGACTGCTGTTATCACGCAGAGGTGACAGCACTGCAGCCCTCTAAGTGATGTTACAGTGGTTTTCAGTTCTTGTAATAATACTAATTGAAAGTGCACATTACAAATGTGTAGGTGTATAATCACATATAATTTTGACTGATCAGAACTGGGGATCCAGGTGAGTTGGATTGATCCCACCCAGGGATCCAGGTGAGTTGGATTAATTGAAGGTTTTCTTACACTTCAGGATTTATGTGCCAATGAAAAACAGTTTGGGAAGTTAACATTAGCTGAAACTACTTGTGGAGCATGCTGTGGAGTTACCACAGTGATGGAAAAGGAAGGGAAAAGACAGGAGAGGGATTTAGTAAACTGACTAAAACATATACATACTCCAGCTGTGTTGAAGTTTAGTTGTTACAATTAATGGGAGTAGACTTAACTCACCAAATGGAAATAGAGTTATTTTTATTTAAGTTCTCTCAGCTATTCATATATGACTCCAATATTATTGTAGAGTACTTCTGCTCTTTTCAACAGAAGACAAAATGCCATGTGGATCACCTTCTTCTATTCCGAATGTTATTCTTCATCAGGAAGACCAGGTGCAGTTTTCGCATGGTGATGAAGTAATTTGTGGATGTAAACAAGGCTCTGGCAATTCTGAGGAAATGAAAATAAAATGTCTTAATGGGGAATGGAAGCCTTTACCTCTTTGTGCTGGTAATCTATTTCTGTAATATTTCAGATATGAGTGTAACATAATTCTATTCAAAATTTCAAGGACTTCAGCAATCAATATGTAGCCAGAGATACTATAGTTTCATGCATCTCAACTAAGGTTTTTTTATTTACTCCTCTTTTAAACGTGAACATATCCTTCATCCTGGAAAGACTCTGCACTTACAACTTTGTAAGCACTCTGAGTAGGTTTGGGGAAGGAAACAGACACTTGCACAGTGGGTAAAATCAAGTATGGTGGTACATCTTTGGTGCACGGTGGCTTTTACCCATTTTCCAGCGTTCCTCCCTGATAACGACCCTTCAGAAGCCTTGGGACATACCTGTGATAAAGTAGCGTGCCTGTTGCATTAGTTACTTGTAGTTTTATGTCTCTGTATACTACTTTGCTTTTTTAAAATCCTACTGGGAATTAAAAATAATATTAGCAGCCACAATGTGCTAGGCTTATCCCGTCCTCACCATTTTTATGTGGATTAGTCCTTTTCATTTCTGATCAGTAGTTTTCTCTTTTTGCTCGTCTTCCCATTTAGTTTTGCAGTGCATAAATTGAATGAAAGTAATGTCTTTTTAAAAGATAGAAAATAAAGCCTTTTCCTAAGAAAAAGAAAAAAAATTACATTAAAGTCAGTAATTTAAGAAAAAAGCGATACTGGACAAGAAGGAGTCTTGTGTGGGATAAATTAGTCCAGCACTTCACTTACCTTTAACAGAATACAGTTTATGATATATCCAATTCTTCGTTCCCCCTTTCTTCAGAAGTGATTTTATATTTAACAGTGATTTGAGTACACTGTACCTTTATTTACAATTATGTTGAGGATTGAATCTGGCACAAAACACAGTCTGCTTATCTTTCACAAGTAGCTTGTGTTCTGACTCTCAGAATCACCAGTCAAGGACACAAGACCTGGGTATGACTTAGATATACTTCCACAGGAGATTGATACCTGATGCATATTCGGTGTGGAGTAGTACTTCCTTTATGCTCCTGTTTCTACAAGCCAACGAAGGTTTCTCTTCTTGCTCGTCTTACCACCTTTTCATAGTTTTAGGGAAGAAAAAAATGCTTAGTTTTTATGTTATTTACTGCACTCAGCAAAAGGGATCCTGTCACCATAAAAATAATTGCTTTGTGAGTGGGAACAGCCTCTGCTTTAGATAGCAGGAACAAAAAATCATTCTGTTTCTGTAATCTAGGACTCTTAGGAGTTAGTTCAAACTACAGTAAATAAAAAAACACTTTCACATGGACATGCATTAGGAAACTGATGACCTCGTCATCGGTAAATGCGTACATACATATTATCTGAACTAAATCTATTTTTTAGCTCTTTTTGTTGATTTTTTTCCAGATCCATCTGCTCAGTGTGTAATTCCGATGGATGTTGAGCTTGTGCACAGTGGTCATCTTTCCAAGGCAAAAAAGAGGACTAGGTTCCATGGAGTTATACGTTATATATGTAAATCAGCTGACAAAAGTATTAAACAGGCAACTTGTGTGTCTGGAAAATGGTCACCAGAGATTGAATGCACAGGTATGTTTTTAGATTTCAATACAATTTCTTCTTTTTATGTAGGCATGATAAATGCTCATTATTACAGCTTCTTAGCATTGCTGTGTCACTAGTCTGAAATAGAAACGCTTACATGCTTATATATATGCTTACTCAATTATATGCTAAGGATAGTCATGAATAATTATGGGAATCATTTGAACAGTTAACTAGGTTGAGAGACGCACTATTTTAGTGAGGCAGACTTAATAGTCTCTACTCTGGCAATTGGAACAGTTGTCACTGTCACTTCTGATGTGAGAAAAGATGCAATGATAAATTTAAGCTTGGGTCTTCAAAAGGGCTTTACCCTGGTGCAAATGAGAGCAGCACAGAGCTCAAGCTCCAGCCAAAGTTCCTTTATTTCCTGTAAACATTCAAAGCTTTTCTATTCCTGCTTTTTCTTTTTTTTTTTTTCCCCTTCTATTTTTTCCAATTGCTTCCTAGTGAAACAACAAGAAAAAAGCTGAGTTGGCCAACTCCAAAGCACAGACCTAGAGGAGACTGCCCTTTTCTAATACACACCAAAGGTCAGATGCCTGCAGGACTGCCTTTATGTATAGCAGAGCAGGACGTTGCCTGTAGAAGTCCCCTTCTATTTTCCAATTGCTTCCTAGTGAAACAACAAGAAAAAAGCTGAGTTGGCCAACTCCAAAGCACAGACCTAGAGGAGACTGCCCTTTTCTAATACACACCAAAGGTCAGATGCCTGCAGGACTGCCTTTATGTATAGCAGAGCAGGACGTTGCCTGTAGAAGGCATGACTGTAAAACAATCATCACCTCCTTGCCTGCTTTGATTATGCCAGATTCATGGGAAATGATGCGTGGAGGTGGGAGAAGTACACAGAGTGGCAATCTCTCAAGGGAGCATTCCCTTTCAAAACCAAGTGTCCCTACCTTCCCAGTTTTCTGGAACCACTAGAAGCAACAAACCAAGCTCTTGAGGTCTCCTCCTTCCTAGATCTACCTCCTTCCCTCACATTTCTTTCCTTTGGCAGGAGTAGCCCTTCCTTCCTTGAGTGGCAAAATTGAAGTTTATTTCTTTGTTTCCTTCTGTGATTCTCATTTAGCTCTGTTATCAGCTAAGTCTGAAGAAGAAAGCAACAACAAAACAAAACAAGAACCCCAGAAGTTGGTCCAGTTTTCCTAAAGTGGTTCACCATAGAGAGAGGAATGGGAAGAGCACACAGGAGTGTGCAGCTGTGTGTAAGGGAGGGGAGGCTTTCAAGAGGCTTTTTACAAGAAGCTCCAGCTTAGATTAGTGTAGGCAACTGTGTCTGTCTTTTCTATGAGGTTGAAAGCTTATGAGCATCTGAAGGCAGCTCTGGTGCTTCTGAAGCCGAACAAAATGATCATGATATTAATTAAAGCTTGAGATAGCTACTGAAGAATTATCACCAGTGTTTTCTTGGTTGTTAGTGTTGTAATCTGTGATGAACTGTTACATTTTATGTTATGTTCTGTTCTAACATGAGTATGTGTCCTTAGCTGAGGAGAGTACATGCCCACCTCCACCTGAGGTGCCTGGTGCTCAACAGATAACAGTTGGCAGAAATTACAAGAATGGGAGTAAAATAGCTTTTTCATGTCTGAAGAGTTTCCAGCTCATCGGTGTGAATGAAATAACATGTATAGATGGGAAATGGCAATCACCACCTCACTGTGTGGGTCAGTAGTGGGTTATTTTTTTCTATTTATTTTATTACGGATTTCTGTGTAATGCATTTGCAGTCATCATTAGCAGGAGGGTGATATTGTTTATGTTAAGACTATCACGAACAGGTAACTGCAGAAAAACAAGTTGCTAAAAGAAGTGCAGTTAACCACCGGCTGGACAGTAAACCTTTTCATTTACACAGACTTATCTAAGATGGCATATAAAACTTTCAGGTAGTCCCTCAAGAGCTGTGTGTTGATTTGTTTGTTTAGTATATTGCAGAATGGAGTACCAGTTTTGACTGGGGGCCTTTAACAGTGTCCTGGTGGAAAAAATCAGTATTATTTATTATTTAGTTGTAGTAGTAGCAATCTTTGGGGTTTTTTTCATTTTTATTCTTTCTTGACTTTTTCCTTTTCTTTTTGTGACTTCTTCCTGTAATAGGAGTATAAATGATATGGCATAACTCAGGCCATCTGTTCTAAGAAATGCTGAGGAATCTGTGATCCCATTGTTACAATATTTCTGATGCAAGTGATATCTTGTAAGCAGAAGTTCATTAAGAGGTAGAATAAAGTGTTTTCAGAAATGAATAGGAAATAGATGAGCGCAGGACAAATGAGGAGCCAGCTGGTGACTGATGTGCACAACATGCCAACCATGTCTGTATTTTTAAGCTGCAAAATTCTGAGGCCACGTGGTTTCTCTTCTTTTGCATTGTCCATGAGTCTCCATTTCTGCTGATAAGTGGCAGACATGGAGAAGAATAACCAAAAAAAATGCTTGAGCTGTTCATAAAACAGCTTTGACTGAAACAAAATTCCCAGTCCCAGTTACTGAACAGGAACTTTGACTGTAATTAGATCTTTTGTATTGTGGAATTCAGTGCAAAGATATGCTTTCAACTTGATGTGTCAACTAATAAAACCTAATTTACTAATAACTAAAAATGCATATAAAATATAATTTAAGTCTACCCACTCTACAGTAGCATAGGAGAAGAAAGCATCGGGACAGCCCTGACTCAGGAGGGCTTCATAGACATTTAATCCATTGTATGTCTCAGGAAGTACATTATAATACTTGGTAAGTTCTGTTCCCTTTTTCATCATGTCAGCACAAAACCCCTCAGGGTATTGGTTCAACTTCATTAATGGTGGGAAAATTTAATAGCTAAAATTCTAGAAACCCACTTTCAGTATCCCAAAACAAGGTAATGTCTCTTCTATTTCTCTGCCTATGAAATTTTCCCTGTTCTTGGTACTAAGCTGTAACTGTATCTCCTTGGTATGAACTGGAAAATGGCTTTCGTTTGGTTCAAAGGCAAAGAGAGAAACCCCATGTAGGAGGGAAAGGAGAGACAAGTTTTGGTTTGTGCATCTTGCATATTTCTTCATCTTCCTTTCAAGCCATTTAATTTATTTTTCGATGATTTTTTTTTTTTTTCAGTCTTAGATGGCATATGTCATCGGAATATTAATTGTCTTGCATTATTGTTTATATGTGTTTTCTGTATTTTATAGAAAGACCATGTTTGCCACCACAACCCGTAGAATGTGCTGATGTTCCCAGGCTGGAAAATCAAAACTTAAAAATTAAAAAAGAAGGGAAAACAATTTATCTGGCTGGTGCCAGGTTTAAGTATGTTTCTCGTTCTGGATACATGTTAGATGGACCATCAGAGATAACTTGTTCCCTGGGAAAGTGGACTTCAGCTCCTACATGCTTGGGTAATATCAAAAAATACTTCTTCTGAAGCGCATTTAGCAATGAAATTGAAAGGATTCTAAACTGGAGGTTGAGTAGTAAGAGCCAGTAACTCCATATTTTGCTGTGGAATCTTATCACCCCTTGTGGATGTCTTCAGAGCAATCCTGACTGGATGCAAGGCTGGCTTTCTGAATGCAGTTTAGTTTTTAAACATTCCTGTGTATTCTTGCAATCTTTGCTCAGTTCATATCTCTGCCAGGTGAGTCCTGGGCACATACTCATAATCCAAGGATCTGTTTTCTATGGAGTCCACTAGTGGCTGGGAGTTGCTTTGGTGCTTCAGTGATGGAAACCACTTTGGTGTAGTAAGGGACAGCAGCCTTTATTAAAATTTTCTGGCATGGTTAGAAACAGGATTGAAATATTGTCTATTTAGGGGAATGACTTATTTAATCTTCCGTACGCTACCTTTTATGTAGAATCCACTGTCAGCGGATGACTGTGCTGACGTTAGAAAAAGTTCTCTAAAGCATCTGTTTGGTGGAAACAGTACACTCATTCGGTGCGTATCCCATTAGCACAAGCGTCAACTTTCTGTATCTTTTCAGAAATGCCATGTGGAAGTATTCCAAAAGTTGCCAATGCTCAAACTGAAGGCAGAAACAAGGAAATTTATGAGCCTGGTGAAACAATTCGCTACCAGTGTGATGCAGGGTTCCTGATTGTTGGTCCCCCCGAAATTATTTGCAGAGAAGGAAATTGGACAGCACCGCCCTTCTGTGAAGGTACAGGTTCTACTTCTAAGTAGTCTATGATCCTTCTTAGTCTTTCATGTTGTTAATAAAATAATGTCAACTCAGGCATGCAGGTGAGTCAGGCCAATAGAGCCAACAGGTGACTTGCTCTGAATGGGCTGCTACACCACCTGTTTTTCTGGCTCCCGAGAAACAGCAAGCAGGGTAGATGAGCAAAGAAATAGATTCCCCTGTGGGCTGAAGCTGGTAGCTGAAACTTAGCTCACTGCCGAAATCAAGCAGGCAGAGGGTTCTGGGGAACGGATGCTGGCTGCAAAGAAGGAGATAACTGGTAGGGCAATGTATCTCATTGTCACATCACTAAGAATGTCAGTTTCTGAAAGTTGCCTTCAAATAGTAAAGAAATCACTTCACTCTCCAGCCCTTTGGCGCACAATGCTGTACAGCACCAGCCTGCACATTTGGCTGATCTCTGCAACTCCTTTTCTCTTTTTAGTCACTCTAGGCAAAAATAATAGTGTCTGGTGAAGCGTTGCAGAATAAAGACCGTGATATCTTCCTTTTCTACCTGTATGAAATGATCTGCATTACGCAAACCATTTTTGCTCATCAGGAACAATGGTGCTGCGGAATGCAATATCCTGTGATTGTCGTATTGCTGCACTACTGTTCTTAAGTGTTCTTAATGTTCTGAAACCTCTCTTTTCAGATGTTAGCTGTGGAGCCGCACCTGAAATTCCCAATGCTTATATTACAAGCACTCACCAGGAGAGGTATCTGCCCAGTGCCAGAGTGCAGTATGAATGTGAAAGCAATTTTCAAATGATGGGTGGAAATTATGTCACTTGTAGAAACGGAGAATGGTCACAAGCACCAATCTGCAGAGGTAGGAATCCGTGCTTTCATCTTGCCTGTTAGCATAGAGGGGACTGTTTGTTCACCTAAATACTCTAAAGACTCTTTACTTTTTTTACTTCTGTTTTCATTGTACTTGCTATTGCTTCCTTGCACAGCATTTTAATTTAGCTTGATGCTTCTAGAAATACTGTGGGTATTTTCATCAACAGCAAAAACGTCTTGAAGAAGCAGGGCCTAAAATGTGCTGCTCTGTCATTCTCCTGTCTGGTACTGGTATTTCCCCAGAGTCCACCATTTCAGCGACCTTCAGGAGAAAGACATGTAAGGGCTCCTCTGTTCTGTTCAAACCTGTCAGGGAGTAGCTGAATGGAAGAAGCGGTAGGGGAGAGAAAGAGCTGTTCTTCTCCAGGGCTCCACCCTGACTGATGCAGATCCCAGCAGAGACTCAGATCTAAACCATGTAAGGTCTGCTAGGGCTGTGGGCGTGGGAAGAGCGTTCCTGTGACAAGGAGCTGTCAGGAGCTGTGCTCCTGTCCCCTGCCCAAGCCTGTGGCTGCAGGGTGAACAAGTGCTACTTGGCTTTCACACACCTCCATGGAGCTGACTGCACTTACCCATCCCCGAGCAGTGCAGGCTGACAAGCTCCTCCAGCGCTGCCGGTCCTGCAGAGCTCTGTGATTCAGCAGAGCGCCAGCTTGGCTGCTAGCCCTGTGATTTCCAGGAATGCCAGGGCTCCCTGGGGAGGGACATGGGCACGCAGGAAGGCTGGTGTGGCTTCTTGTGCTGTGAGGTGTAGCTACAGAAACACTGGCTTTTTCTAGAAGCTCTCATTGACCCTGCCATCTCTGGAGAGTCCCAGAAAGAGTGTTCTGCTGCCACTGTCACACCTCGTTGCTTTCTCCATGGTGAACTCTTGGAGCTGTTACCCACCTGAGGCAGAAAATCTGGACAGAAATTGTAACAAGATTGATTTCTTTAACTGTTGGTTGTATAGGGGAACACCTCAGCGACTGCAAACGTGACTGCAGCAGTGTCTCTTTTCAGATGTGACATGTGAACCTCCTCCAGAAATTGCGGGTGGTAACGTTCAAGGTGTGAAAAAGTCAAGGTATTTGCCTGGGGAGAGTGCTCGCTATCAGTGCTGGCAAGGTTTTCAGATGACTGGGACTTCCACCGTAGCATGTCAGAATGGGACCTGGACAGAGCTGCCCAAGTGCAAAGGTAATTTCTCTCTGTCTTCATACAGTTGCCTGTCAGTGAGACTGTCATGAAGCTGACTCAGTGGCATTTACTTCTCCACATTTCAGTCTCATTACTGTGCACAAACGCAACATATCTGGCACACTCAGGAAAAAGGCGTTTTCCCAGGTATCTATTCAGATGAGTTTACCAGCTGAGTGACCCAGGTGGCTTCACTCAAGAGGGCCCCATCTGGAAAACCACCCTGAGGCTGAGAGCAGTTGCTGGCCAGGTCTAATTTTGAGATGCAACCCTTGGACTTCTTAGAATATACTTTCTGTGCCTGCCTGATGAGAAGAGAGTGAGAAATTTTGCCACCTGTGTTGGAGAACAGAGCCCACAGCTTCCCAGCTAGCTGACATTCAGATAATGCGGATGATGCATTGCTATATTGAATGCCATGGAGTGAAATCAACCGTTAAATCAACTGAGGGTAGAGTCTGATGTGTGAGCCAGTACCTAGGTACGGTGTTGGTGCCTCCTAGGATTTCATGAGCGCGCTGAATGATCTCATTTGTTTTCATTAGACATAGAGAAAGTTTCAGCACGTGAACCAGTGCAGCAGCATCTGACTCAAACACCACCCAGCTGGGAGCTGAAAGGGGTGCAGAAACAGCAGATGAATTCAGACCAGGCTCCATATTGTGCCTCCGGAACACAATGCCAAGTGCAAAGAGTGTCACTGCTGGTGCCAAGGGATCTGGGTCTTCTCTGAAGATTTCCCAGTGCAAGGTCCGTTGGAAGGCCAGACTTGGCAGCAGTGTGGTGCTTGAATAGGTATAAAAATCCGTGAGGCAGCGATGCTTCAGGATTGGCATGTGTGAACTCCCCAGTGGCCGTAAGTGGCCCACAGAGCCCAAGGGCTATGCCATTAGTGATTGCAGCGGTGCAGTTCAGTGGCAGTCGTTACTGTTTGCAGTCGGATCCACTTTTCTCAGTGCTCAAGCAGTACAGGGAGGAGGTGGGTGTCAGGCTCTTCTGCAGAAAGAGCTGTGCCAAACGCTACACCGTTATGCAGGACGAGAGGAAGTCCTGCAGGCAGCTGCAAGCACTTCAGCCGTGGACAAACGGGGTGAACTGGTAGCTGTGAGTCCCAGCACTGGAGAAATGAGAAACTCTTGCTCTTTTTCACCTGCCAGGTATTTGGTTTTCCCTCTGCTTTCCTCCAGGTCTCTCATAGTGCCAGTGTACTGTCCGGTCATATTTGTGGCCAGGCCTCTGTTGCAATTAAACTCTCACGGCTTTCTCTCTGACTGGGAATTTTCTTCCAGGGAAAGGTGGGAAATGTGGCCCGCCTCCAGTTATTGAAAATGGAGACCTTCTTTCCTTCCCCATGCAAGAATATCCACAAGGTACAACTCTGGAATACAAATGCCCCAGTCTCTACGTCCTGGAAGGATCTCGGTATATCATCTGTACTGGCGGGCAGTGGACAAGCCCCCCAGTTTGCCTAGGTAGGTTGAAGCACGTGCTGTGTGGCCAAAGGCTGTGTGATTGCTCCTGTTTTCTTTTTCTCAGATCCTGAGGGCATCACTTGTGCAGCAGCACTTGTGCTGGGGCTGCGATGCCGGCAGGGCAGAACAACGACGAGTCCTTCTTCTGTCCAGAAGGAGTTTCTTCCTGAAGTTTGCTTCTGTAGTCCCCTCTGCTGCCTGCTGTCTCTCGCCACCACGGCGGGTTTGGGAGGAGGGGAGTTTGGCTGAACACCCCTGTGTGAGGGGATCGCCACCACTGTGCAGGGCTCCCGAGTTGGGGACGCTGCTACGGTCAGCAGGCTGAGGGGGGGGGGGGCGGGGGG